CGGGGCCTTTCAGAGCTTCATAATAAAATTTTCCATGTTTATACTTAAAATTGATAATCAAGACAGAATCAATGCTTAGATTCGTCAATAGAATCATCTTCATAGTCAAAGGATAGGACTTAAGATTAAGACTTTAAGAATTTAACATTAAGATTTCCTTCTCAGCAGGGGACAAAAGAGGCCTGGGCCATGAAACAGGCAATTTCATTTGAAATTAAGGGTTCCAACACTTAACTACTAAGTTTCCACTTCAAGGGACATTTTATAAGGGTCTCAAATAAACACGAATATCTTTTTTTTTTTTCCTTATTGTGAGACTTTTAATTTCACCATTTGCATCACAATGCAAAGTGGGGTCTAACAGATCTCATGGTCCCTGAGGATTAATAAATGTTGAGGTTTCCTCCTGAATACGTGGGGTGGCTGACAGATGCTGCCACTTTTAAACTCTCATCAAAATATCTTTATGACACTTTTGGTTCAGTCATGGAGGTGGGGAGAAAGCAGGTCACAGATGAGAGGTTTTGGCTAAGTGACTCTTCTTTCCCCAACCTTCTTCCCAGCTGGCAGCACTAAAAATGGATGCAGCTGAGACAGCACTCTCCACATTAGCCTTATGATATGTCTTGTTAATGAAAAAATTATTTAATGATCTACTTACATGCCTTAAAACTCATCTACTAAAATCTATTACTGTGCTTGGGTCAGTTAGTCAGTGATGTCACTTGAGGGGTACAGGCCTAAGGTTGATTATCTGCCTGTAAGGGAATTTATTAATCAACTATGGAGACTGGGTCAGTCATTGGGAAGCCAGGGAACAAAGCAAGAGCTAAGCTGGAGAGTCCACTACCAAAGGTCAAACCTAAAAAGTCACTGGATCATCATCAAAGACTAGTGTTGGAGAGACAGAGTAGGGTGGTGCTTGAAGCATGTAAGTCAAATTAGCCAGAAGACTATAACTTAGGAGGAGTAAACAACCTCATGGCCCATTTATTCACACGTTCATATTCTCCAGTGGAAACAGACTTAAAAAAACAAAACCAAACCCGTTGCCATCGAGTCAATTCCGGCTCATAGCGACCCTATATAACAGAGTAGGGTTTCCAAGGAGCAGCTGCTGGATTCGAACTGCGGACCTTTTGGTTAGCAGCTGAGCTCTTAACCACTGTGCCACCAGGGCTCTAGGAAATAGACCTAGTGATAATTTATGTCATTGTACAAACAATTTTGGGCATGGATATGTATACATCTGCTGTAATGACAGAAGTATGAATGTTGAACCAAAACATACATAAACATATCTTAAAGTCAAAGTTCGTGGAAAATTGTGAGGCAAAAATGCTATTGAAGCAAATGTGCATTACAGCACACACTTTAGGGTTAACCCAACAACTGCAGCAAACTGAATTGATCATGATGCACTTAAACTGTAATTTTTCAATAAAAACAAGAAGTGTAGCAAGTAAAAGCCATGATCAACTCAGAACAACATGAATAATGTCCCAGAAACAGTGCATCCTTCCTCCAAATGGTAGGAACCCCAACTACACTGGTTGGGGGCTTACACAGTAGAGCTTTGCAAATTGCCATGCTCTCTGTGGCACAGGCTTCTTAGAAAAATCTGAGTCTTCAGGAAACCATGGCCGTGAGCTAATTTTAGTTTTGAATACAAAATTTTAGTAACTCTTACACTCATCTAGTAGGTTACTGCTTGTAAACAGCTTATGAAAAAAACAAAATACTACTGAATTGTGAATCATTTGCCACTAAGACTCACGGAAAGGATTTGCATTTGGGAGAGTCTGGTCTGGGGTTCATCAGGTGAAGTCTACTACGTAACTGAGAATCACTGGCTGCTATTTGGGGCTGTGGTTGCCAGTTGAGCTAGAGTAGCTGGGCCTCCTGGCTTATCCCAGTTCCCCATGTTCCACTGGTTTTTAAGGGCCCCAGTGGTGAAAATGGTTAACATGCTCGGCTGCTAACTGAAAGGCTGGAGGTTTGAGTCCACTCAGAGGTACCTCGGAAGAAAGGCCTGGTGATCTTTTCTGAAAAATCAGCCATTGGAAACCCTATGGAGCCCAGTTCTACTCTGACACATGGGATCACTATGAGTCTGAGCTGATTCAAGGCAATTGGTTACCCACTTGCTCACTAAGTGACTCATTATCATTATCCTTGTCATGTGCTTGGGAACCCACATGGGAGTGTGGCTGCTCTGTGATGCTGCTCCTGCCTCCTTCTGATGAGAGATAAAACATACTTCTGGCCACACCATTTCTGGACTGGAGCCTTCTAGAGCATTCTCACATGTAGCTATTTTATAAACAGAGTGTGATGATTTAGTAAATAAGATTAAGAAAGAAGAGTTGAATTTTCGGCAGCTGCATATGACAGATACAAGAAGAAAAATTTGTTTTTATGCCAATTTCCAGGTATAATATTTTAAAATTTCAAGCATAGAAACCTCCTCTAATATAGTTTTAAATACCTGGGTTCAAAACTGGGAGCTATCAGGTCTTTAGGGGTGGCAGATATGGACATCAATAAAAGTATATTAAAAATATAAACTTTCGAAGATTAGTCTACACATTATGCATTTATCTGAAAACATTAAAAATCCTGAGCAAATTTAGCAATAACAGATGTGTGTAACTGTTTTCTTTAGCTAAGCTAGGATGCTTTGCCCCTCTGCCTCTTGCGAAAGGCAAAACCAGACGACATATTTTGCAAGTGGAAAACATTTAATTTTTACTTGAATGTAGGAACAATTAGCACAAGTTCCCAAAGAGAGAAAAACTCTAAACATAAGTAATGATGATAGAATAGTTTACTCAGAGGATATCCTAACACTTGTATGTGGAATGATTCCCATTATGTAGTAAAAAGGAACAGAGCATGTAAACACATATCAGAAATCCTGATATAACTTTCATTTCTAGAAAAACTGCAAAGGCTATAAAGAAAATAAACTGCATCACCAGACATTTACAAACTCCTACCAAAAGTCTACAATTTCTTGCAAAAGAAAATGTAGCAGCTGCTTCAGGATGTGGGCAAGACAAGTGTGTTCCTGTGGTAACCATTTCCCAAAAAAGAAAAAAGTTATAAAGAAAGACAACTCCTTTGCTAAGCTACAATCTACCAGATCTCCGGATTTATGAGAGCAACAAGAATAGAAGAGATTGAGTGGTTTAAGAAATAACTTGGAAATAAATATGTCATGAATCAGTAAAATCTGTCAAATAAAATAACTTTTAATTTATCATGGAAAGAAATCTCTTCATATAGTTTGATACTGTCAAAACATTTTGTTATGAGGCATTTTATTTTAGGTTGACGTATTGGATCTACAATCCTGCAAAATAAACATGTGCGTATATTCCTTAAGGTTCTAGTCAGCCCTTCCAAAGCCATTGCTGTCAAGTCAATTCCAACTCATAGTGACCCTTTAGGACAGTGTAGAACTGCCCCTAAGGTTTCCTAGGCTGTAATCTTTACGGAAGCAGACTGCCACATCTTTCCCCCTCAGAGTGGCTGGTGGGTTCGAAATACCAACCTTTCAGTTGGTAGCTGAGCACTTAATCACTGTGCCACCAGGGAATCAACTCCACAGGCTTGAGGTTTAGCTCTCCTTCAAATTGTAAACTCAGAGAGGGCAGTCAGTCCTCACCATAACCATTGCCATCGAGTCGATTCTGACTCATAGCGACCCTATAGGACAGACTAGAACTGCCCCGTAGGGTTTCCAAGGAGTGGCTGGTGGATTCGGACTGCCGACTTTTTGGTTAGCAGCTAAAGCTCTTAACCACTGTGCCACCAGGGCTCCAGTTAGTCAATCCTTACTATGTATTAATTCTCTTGGTGATACAAATTCATATTTATTCAACTAAAATATGTTGTACATTTAGTTTCTCATAACCTTATATTCTTTCCTTATTTTTTTTTTTACTACCAACTTAGCTTCTTTTAATATTTACACAATCAGTGCTCCTTTACACTTTCCCCTGTTCACTGTGTAAAATTCATTTTATTCATTCATACTCTCAATAAGCATTTGTCATTTCCTAAATACCAGAAAATGATTGGGTCCGATCAACTTTCCTTCTCTTTTTTTCACGTTGCACGCACCACTCTTGTGGAATTCATTCAGTAACTGTCCCTAATAATACAAAGTCTCATTTTTCGTTCTGTTCTGTTGATCTACCCAGAACTTCAATAACTATTATTTCTACATCTTTCCTTCTAAAGATGGGATAGAATGGGGTAGGGAGAGGGAGGTGGTGAGGACACAATTTAATATTTATTACTTGCAAACAACATACAATGCACTTGGCTAAGTGTTTAACACAGATTATCTTAAGTTTCACATCACCAAAATGAGGTAGGTATGTTCTTATCCCCAGTTCATAAATTGGGAAGCTGAGTCCCCTAGCACTTGGTCACTTGAGGTCACATAACTAGTAAATGATAATGCCAGTGTAGGAATCCTAGTCTGTCTAATCTAAAGCTCTTACACAGTTCTTCTGAGAAGCACAGTTGGCACCCAATAATATTTTTAAATTAAATCTTTAAATATTGTTTGAATTTATGCTACTCATAAAATTTTAACTCCCTCTTCTTCCATTTTGCCTGCAAACACAATATAATTTTTAGATTAATTACTAAAGAAATGCCTTTTAACAACGGTTTTTGAGGCAAAGGTAGATGTTGTGCACAAAGAAAAAGAATGCAAATAAGTAAAGTATTTTTAAAATTCTGAAGTCTATCTGCCCAGATGATGTATTAAGCTTGATGTTTTCAGACCGCTCTTCTAGTGTCAATGGAATAACAGATAATAGATTACAAATAATCTAGACATTTAAAAATTAATACTGTAGGTAAAAATAAACCAAGGGAAAATGGAAATATAAAAAGTCCACTTTTATGAATGAGAACAAAATTAAATATCACAAAATTAGTGTTAAAGTAAAACCATTTATTATGTTGCATTCTCTCTATTTAGTCCTCATCAGTTTGTACCTTATATTCTTCATAATCCTTGCCATCTAGCAAATCCCTTTTCTCCAGTTCTATAATTTGTTTTTCAGAGGGGTTAGCCGGTAGAGACTTAATTTTGGCTTGTTCATAAATGGGTTTTCCATTAAAAAATAGTTCCTTCCAATCATGCATCAACTTATATGGAATCAAACTATAGCAAAAACAAATAAAAAGAGAGAGAGAGAGAAAGAAAAAAAGCTAGAAATCAATCAATGGTTATTCAAATATACACCTTATATCTTAATCTTTTTAGTATAATATTTATGTAATTAACTCACTTTTGTCAGAATTAAATAGAAAACACGAATATTTTTAAAGGTCATCAAATGTGTAATGACAATAAACCACCATATATTAGTTTTCTCTGTGTTACATATTAGTGTATAAATATGAAAAACGAACTGTCATCTTAAAGGGGCCTTGAAAAGGATTCAGTCTCTTCATTTTGCACTGAGACCTAGAGTGAGATTGTACAGTCATTTGATAACACAGCTGGAAATTAAAGAACCAAAGTTTTCTGATAGTGCTCATTATTTTTATATATAATAGTATATTGTTCTGTTAAAAACTAAAAACCTTGTTGCCATCGAGTCGATTCTGACTCATAGCGACCCTATGGGACAGAATAGAACTGTCCCATAGGGTTTGCAAGGAGCGGCTGATGGATTTGAACTGTCAGCCTTTTGGTTAGCAGCCAAGTCTTAACCACTGTCCCACCAGGTCTCCATTGTTCTGTTAGTGCACAGGAAATAAGCACTTATGAAGAACCAGTAGCATTCAGTAATATTCATTCAAACCTACTAAGTTCCAGGCACTTTACTATGTGTTAGGAATATAACTGCAAGTGACATCCCTGACCTCAAATAGCAGACACTGGGGAAGAAGGGCTGAAAGATAATTACACAAATAAAAGAGTTCTGAGTGAGAATGACAGGGTACAGGACAAACCAATTTAAATTGGTGGCTCTGGGAAGGTCTCTGAGGAAATGAGAGCTAAGCTAAGGCCTCAACAATGACTGGGAGGCCACTAGGACATACTGACAGGAAAATGGTTCCAAGAGGAACAAAGTGTGCAAAAGAAGGAAGGAAAGAGTCTGGTATGGTTAGGGTGCATTTCTCTAACGAGTTGGACGACTCAAATTACAACTTAAAATGTAGTATTTCAAATAAATGTACAACTTGATATGTGACCATATTATGTATTCTATTAATAACGCATTAATGGCTGCTAAAGGTTACTTTCAGGAACCCTGATGGCTCAGTGGTTAAGTGCTCGGCTGCTAACCGAAAACAGCCAAACCTGGCAATCTGCCCCTGTGAAGATTGTTGTTGTTTTTGTTAGGTGACATCCAGTCAGTTCTGACTCATAGCGACCCTGTGTACAACAGAAAGAAAAACTGCCCTGTCCTGCACCATCCTCACAATAATTGTTATGCTTAAGGTCTGTGTTGCAGCCCCTGTGCCAATCTATCTCGTTGAGGGTCTTCCTCCTTTTCACTGACCTTCTACTTTACCAAGCAGGATGGCCTTCTCCAGGGATTCACCCCTCCTGATAACATGTCCAAAGTATGTGAGACAGGAGTCTTGCCATCCTTGCTTCTAATGAGGATTCTGGCTGTACTTCTTCCAAGACTAATTTGTTTGTTCTTCCGGCCGTCCATGGTGTATTCAATACTCTTCACCAACACCACAATTCAAAGGCATCAATTCTTCTTCAGTATTCCTTATTCATTGTCCACCTTTCACATGTATATAAGGCAATTGAAAATACCATGGCTTGGGTCAGGTGCACCTTAGGCCTCAAAGTGATATTTTTGCTTTTTAATACTTTAAAGAGGTCTTTTGCAGCAAATTTGCCCAATGCAATGCATTGTTTGATTTCTTGACTGCTGATTCCATGGGTGTTGATTGTGGATCCAAGTAAAATGAAATCTTTGACAACTTCAATATTTTCTCAATTTATCATGATGTTGCTTATTGGCCCAGTTGTGAGGATTTTTGTTTTCTTTATGTTGAAGTGTAATCCACACTAAAGGCTATAATCTTTGATCTTCAACAGTACATGCTTCAAGTCCTCTTCACCTTCAGCAAGCAAGGTTGTGTCATCTTTATATAGCAGGCTGTTAATGAGGTTTCCTCCAATCCTCATGCCCCTTTCTTATTCATATAGTCCAGCTTCTTGGATTATTTGCTCAGAATACAGATTGAATAAGTATGGTAAAAGGATACAATCCTGAAGCACACCTTTCCTGGTCTATGCACAGGTTCTGCATGAGCACAATGAAGTGTTCTGGAGTTCCCATTCTTTGCAATGTTATCCATAATTTGTTATGATCCACATAGTCAAATGCCTTTGCATAGTCAATAAAACACAGGTAAACATCTTTCTAGTATTCTCTGCTTTCAGCTAAGATTCATCCGACATCACCAATGATATCACTTGTTCCACATCCTCTTCTGAATTCGGCTTGAATATCCTCGCAGTCCCCTGT